CGGGCACGACTCCGCAGCCGAGACAGCTCGTGCGGCCGCCCGGGCACCCCGGGCGCGGCGAGCACGGCCAAGGGCAGCCCGAACGGCGAGTGCGGGCGCGGAGAGCCGCAGTGCAGCCCCGCGGGGCCCGAGGGCCCGGCGCGGGGGCCTAAGGTGTCGTTCTCGTGTCGCGGGGCGGCCGCGGGGCCCGCGCCGGAGCCGGGCTCGGGGTCGGGGCCGGCGGACGAGGCGGGCAGCGAGGAGGCGGGCCCGGCGGGGGAGTCGCGCGGCAGCCAGGCCAGCTTCATGCAGCGCCAGTTCGGCGCGCTCCTGCAGCCGGGTGTCAACAAGTTCTCGCTGCGGATGTTCGGCAGCCAGAAGGCCGTGGAGCGGGAGCAGGAGCGCGTCAAGTCGGCGGGGGCCTGGATCATCCACCCGTATAGCGACTTCAGGTACAGCCGCCCAGAGGGCCGGCCGGCCAGCGCGGAGGGGCACGGCGAGCGGACGCGCACAAGGGTCGTCCTGGGAGCGCTGTGGAGAGGGCGGGGCGGTGTGCCCCGCGGGTGACCTCGGGGCCCCTCGGTGACCTCGGGCGCGTCCGGGACCCGCCCCGGAATGACCTGGGCGCTCGAGGCGCCGCCCTTGGAGGGACACTGGGAGGCGCGCGCCCCCTCCCACGCAGCCTGACATTCCCCGCCCTTCGGGTGGGCGCACGTCACGGGCCGCAGGACCAAGGTCTGAGCGCGGAGGGGCGGAGAGGACGAATAGAGGGGAACGTGGGCGCCGGCGAGGCAGCGGAGCGGAAGGAAGGAGGAAGGAAGGGCGCCCGGGAAGGACGCACCCCGTAGAGGCTGGCGGAGAAAGGGTTAAGCGGACACGCCGGGTCCCAGGGTCTCCACCTGCGTCCCACGCCGCAGGGAGGCGCGTTCCGGGTCCCTGGGCCTCGGTATTGCGCAAGGAGGGGACACTGTTCGTGCTGGTGTCCCCCGGCTGTGTCTACTCTGAGCCGCATCAGCTGCAGCGGCTGGGTGGTGTGCCCAGGTGTCAGTGGTGGTGATGTTGATGTGAATTCAGCTGGCTGATCCGTGGAAAGGCTCAGAGCAAGGCCCGGAGCAGGCTCAGCCGCGTGTGTTTGTGGTGTGCCCAGGTGTCAGTAGTTGTGTAGATGCTGATGTGAATTAAGCCAGTTGGTGCGTGGAAAGCCTCGGAGCAAGGCTGGAGCAGTGTCACGCCGCCGCGTATGTTTGCAGTTCCGTTCCCGGGTGAGCGCTGTGTGGCCTGGGAGTGTGAACGATGCACATCATTGCAGGCCGTGTGTGTGATCACGAACATGTGACTGCGGCGGGCAGGGGCCGAGTGCTCTGGGGGGTGTGTCTGCATGGCGGATCACTGGTGTGTGTTGGGGAGAGAGGGAGTGTGTGCGCATCAGCGGGCAGTGGGTGTGAGGTGTGTGCATGGTGTGTGTGTGAGGTGATGTGTCCGTGACTGGGGTGTGTGAGTTGGGGTGCAGAGGGTCTCCCCAGGCCTCCGGGCCACGATCTCAGGGTAGGCACGGTTTCAGCACCACGGACAGCAGTCCAGCGGCCTCCGAATCCTATGACGCCGCGGGTCTCGCCTCCCTCAGGCCTGAGGTCGGATTCCTGGATCCCCAGAGCTGGGAAAGCGGAGCTGTGGGACTCTGCCTTTCCCTGGCCCTCCATATCCCCTGTGCCTGACAACTGGGGAAACGGAGGCCCAGGGGCACACAACTCAGGAACGGAGGGTGGAAGAATGTCCAGGAGTCCAGCTCCTCACCCCCAGACCGTCCTGGGAGGTGAATGCAGCCTTGACCGGCGGCTTTGGGAGAGGCCGGGGGCCCAGATGGGGTGCCTCTGGATGGGCCCGACCGGCATGGGGGCTCAGCACCCCTGCAGATGGTTCCAGTCTGTGAAATGGGGATGAACTTGACTTCCAGGGCTCCCTGGCCCACCTGGCCCCTCTGTGAATGGGGGCTAAAGTCAGCTGGCTGGAAAGGGACGTGGGGGCCATGTGGGCAGGGGGAGGTGGCTGCAGAAAGTAGCCATTCCTCTGTCCCCTCCAGCACATCCGCCTGCAGCATCCCCAGGGCTGTGGGTGGCTCTGGGCTTCCTCTCAGCTACAGAAGGGGTGGGGGCTGCTGGGAGAAGGAGCTGGGCGTCCCCAGCCTTGTGCGCGTCCAGCACAGTTGCCCGTGGGTCCCTGGGCAGATACACTGTAAACTGGGGGTGAGCAACGGGATGGGGGTGAGGGAGGGATGAGTGGGGCCTGTAGCTGGGACTAGGTGAGCCAGTCAAAGTAAAAACCTTAAGACCCTGCCAAGCTGGGGTGCTGCGGGGCCTCTACAACCCCCCATGTTTTGGGAACCCTTCTAGACCCCTCGGATTCAATATGGAGACAGACCCCCAAGCACATGATCGGAGAAGTGCTTCCTGAGCCCCTCTTGGGCACAGCACCTTAAGAATATAGATCCAATCCTCATGTCAGATGTGAGGTGGCTGCCGCAGCTACCCCAAATTTACATGCGAGGAGAGGGGGTCACGGAGAGGTAAAGTCACTCGCCCAAAGCCACACAGCTAGTCCCCGGCAGAGCAGGGATTCATTCCTGGGCAGGCTGGCCCCTGAGTCTCCACTTTGGGACTGTCAGGCAAGCTGGCCCCTGGCCATGTCCTGTCCAGGCCAAGAAGAAGTGGGAGGAGAAAGGCATCCTGGGGATTGTTCAAGATAAGGGGGCTGCCCAGGGGGAGCCGTGGGTCATCTCTGTGTTCGTGTGGGTGTTAGTTTTAAGACCCATTTGTGGAGCAGTAGGGAGAGGCCTTTCTGGGTCTGCTTGTCCACACTTGGCTCCGTTTGTCCTCATGACCTGACGGTGCAGACACCATCCCCGCTGGTGCCCGGGTAAGCCCTGGACATGACTTAAAAGGGAAACTGGGCCGTGAGACCAAGGCTTCTCCCCCAGCCCCAGGTCCTGCCCAGGGCCGTGGCATCTCCACTTTCTTGAGCTGCAGCTTTGCTCGGATTGGCACGGCACCCATCTGGCATGGAGCACAGGACAATTCATGTTTGGTCAACTGGGGCAGCCTTGGTCACGCCTAGCTCCTCGGGCCACATGGGCTTCCAGGGAGGGCAGGCGTCTGCAGAGTCCTCGGGGAGGGGGGCTCTTGAGGAAGGTGACTGGACCGAGGCCGGAGGAGCGCGCTGCAGAGGGGCTGCGGCAGTCTGCGGCGAGGCCTGCGCCCGCTGTGCATGGCCTGAAGTCCTCTCCGGGCTTCCCTGCCTCAGTTTCCCCAAATGCGTGGTGCACCCCATTTCTCTCGTTCCGGTCGATGTCTGCGCCGCCCGTGCGTTCAGAAGCGGCCTTTTTTCCTTGATACGCTTACCTGCCTCTCCCCCCCACCTCCATGGCATCCTGGGGCCTGGCACGTGGGGGGGGGCGGGGCCCAGGATGGTTTTGGGAACCTGCCGAGGGGCACACATGGGTACCAGGCAAGGCCAGTCAGGTCGTGAGCCCCGTTTCCTGGCAGCTTTGGAACAGCCCCAACCCTTTCTGAGGCATGTCTTCACTTCTTCATGGGGCCATGAGTAACACTGCAGCTGGCGCCCGGATACAGATGTTCTAGGAGCTTCCATGGGGGCGGGGGAGGGGAGAAGCGTGTTCGAGGGACAGCAGGAAGGATTCAGGTTCAGGAGGGTTGCTTTTCCTTCTTTGCACCCTGAGGTCCATTTCTGAGTCAGAACAAGCATGAAGACCACCCCAGAGCAAAGCAGGGAGAGCGGCCAAGGGGCCAGCATGGAGGGTCACAGCCTGGGCCACTGCCTCCCGGAGGTCCTGGGGCCCTGGCAGGATCTTCTGCCCCTGCCCCCAAAAATGTATGATGAAGAAATACAGTTAACTCCTTCACCTGGCCACCCCGGGCTCTAGAGGCCAGAGAGAGGGCTTCGCGGGAAGGAGGAGAGCTCAGAGGGGAGGGTGTGGGTGGTGGTGCCCCAGGCAGCTACGGCCCGGCTGCAACTCCCCACCGCCCGTTCTGGACAGTCCGCTTTTTCTGCCACTTCCTCCACCTCCTTAGTTGGTGGTCACTTGGTGGTCAAGGCAGCCGTGGCCGTGTGGGAGCGTGGGCAGGTCGAGGGGGTAGAGGCTTCATCTCCCTAGAGACAGTGTGGGCAAGTGGCTTCCCACGGCCTTTCTTCCCGTTCCCGAGTCTGTAAGTGCTTCTGAGGTCTGATCTGAGTCTCTCCTGCTGCTGCCGCTGAATCTCAGTTCAATGTTCCCGAATTGTGTACCACCGGGAGGCCTGGTTTGTGGGGAAAAGATAAGTGGGTCCTTTTCCTGGCCCTCAGCGGAGGTTAGACAAAGCCAGGACAGGTGGATGCTGACCTGTATCTGTGTGACATCCTGTGGGGTCCCTGAAGGCCTGGGGTGGTGGAGGGGCTGGCCTGAAGATCCAACGGGGCTGGAGGACTTCTCCTGCCCCAGATGGCCCTACAGATTAGCGGGAGATCAGGATGCATCAGCTCATGAGAATAAACCCTGAATGATCCCAAGTTGGGGCGGTGGTGAGGGGCGGGGGCCAGGGTTTCCCCGGTTCTGAATCCAGCATGAAGGCACTCAGAGTGGGGGTTGGTGGACATGCCCATTTCCCAGGTGGGAGGATTGAGGCCCAGGGCCCACCCGGCTGGGAGGAAGGACGCTCCATGGTCCCTGTGAGGGGTCAGGGGCCTGAGGTGGCCGAGGCCCCTCTCCTCTCTCCATTGGTTTCCTGCCAGAATTTGGAGTTTCTGGCCCCTGAATTAACTGCTTTAAAAACGTCACACCCCCCACACCCCCTGTTTCAACATCCATGACCTGGGGTTCAGGGGGACACTGGGGGGCCTTCCTTAGCTACCCACTTGCTCAGGACAGACCCTGCCTCACTTCCCCCATCAGCAAGCCCAACCCACATGCAAAGAGCACAGGCTACCCCACTTCCTCCCTGGACGCCGCCCTCTGCCCCTCCCTTGCCTTCCAGCTGCCGGCAGGGGCATCTCAAGATTCACGTTCGTCCTTCTCACTTAAAACCTTCATGGCCGTGGCCTCCACGGCCCTGCAGAGCCCGGCTCCCACCCCCTCTCACCCCTTCTCACCTCCCTTCACACCCCTGCTCCAGCCCCAGGCCTCCCAGCCGCCCCGAAAGGCAAACTCCATGCAGCCACGGGACCTTTGCACTTGCCGTTTCATCCGCCCAGGGTGCAGTGCCCGCACTCTGCCTAGCGGCCCTTCTCCATTATCCACCCACACGTCACTTCCTCTGAGAAGCCGTCCCAGCCCACCCTGGCTAAAGTGGCCCCTCTGAAGCATCCCACTCATTTATCTGTCTGTGTGGAACGCCTGTCTCCCCCCTGGGCTGGGGGCCCTGAGGGAGGGCCGGGTCTGTCTGGTCGCCACGTGTCCCCCAGGCCTGCACACAGTCAGCCCCACAGCCTGCCCTGTCTTGGGATCGCTCAGGAATCTTCCCCTGCAGAAGTCTCAGTTTCCCAATCCCTGACACCTGCCTGGGATCCGTAACTCACATCCGAGGGCTCAGGTCCTAATAATCCATCCCTAGCTCATCCTTAATCCCTGACCCCCCCTCCCTTCCCGGCCCCTAATCCCCTAGGATTTGCCCGATCCGATAGGTAATTCCTGGACTGCTTCCAGCCTGGTTCTTGGTTCTCTGACCCTGAAGGGAGGGAGCCGCTACCCTTGTTAACAGCGTCCCTGAGCAGCCACTTCAAGCTCCCGGGACGCCCCTGCCCCTCGGCCCTGCCCTGCCTGGTCCTGGAAGCATAGGGCTGCGTGTCAGCTTCTGGAATTGGAGGGGCCCCAAGTGCTGGAGACGGGAGGGTGACAGCATGGTCCTGAGCTGTGGCCTGGAGGTCTGGCCGCCTGGGTTCCGTCATTTCACCACTTCCCACCTGGGTTTCTCCGTCTGCGCAGAGAGAAGGGTCGGGGCAGCTGCTGGAGCGGGAGCTGGGCCCACAGTGGGGGCCCCGCTGACATCAGAGCCATGTGGGTGTGGCGCCTGGGAGAGGGTTCCAGGCTCTCCTGTCTACAGGGCGCTGGGGGTCGTTGCCGCTGAGCCCCCGCACCCCACCAGGAGCCCCGGCCTTGCTGGTCTCTCAGGGCCCAGCTCCTGTCCTGGCACAGGCAGGAAGCGGGATCTGAGTGTTTCCCGACGGGGCCCTGTTGTTTGTTAGGAAGGACTTTTCAATACGAGGTTTAATTACTGTCCCTGAAGGCCCTGGGTGGCTGAGGGCTGACTCAGGCCCCTGCAGGCCCCGACCCCGTCCCAGGGGTCTCTGGGTCCCAGGGGTCTCTGGGGCAGCCTGATGCGGGAGGGGCTGCCAAAGTTGGGCAGAGGAAGCATTGTGGCTCAGAGAAGGACAGTGATTAGCCCTGGGATGCACAGCCCAAGGGGGCGGGCAGGGCGAGGAAAGGGGGTGCTGGGGAGAGGGACCTGGATCCTCTGCCCCAGCCCTCAGTTTCCCCTCCTCCTACCCAATTCCAGGAGGACCAAGGGCCACAGGCCTGGGGGCGGCAGGCTGGCTTTCAGGTCTTTGCACCCCTCCCTGGCTGGGCCACCTCTCTGGTCTGTCAGTGGGGAAGTGTGGTGCCTGCACCCCCACCCCCCGCCCCCAGAACAAAAGGAGGGAACGTCTAGGACTAGTCGCCTGTGGAGGAGGAGGCCGTCTTCATCCTGGCCGTTTATGCTGTGGCTACCCGACCCTGGTAGTTTCTAGGCCCCCCGATTTAGATGGTTTCTAACCGCCCCCCCTTGGTTTCTAGGCTCGTGCCCCTGGCCTTCCTGCTTGCTTTGTCCCTGGGCGTGATCGTCCACTGCCGTGGAAGCTCTGGTGGTGGAAATGGGGACTAGGCGGGTGCGGCCCCTCAGTCAGGTTGGGGCTGGGCCCCTGGGGGTCTTGAGGATGAGTAGATGCCCCACCTTGTCTGGATTCAGGCAAAGGAAGGTCTGAGCCCAACACCTTGTCTGGATTCAGGCAAAGGAAGGTCTTGAATTTGGAGCAGTCATTTGGGTTTTGCCCTTAACACTCACCCCAGATCATGTCAACCCTTTCAGCTCTCAAGGTCTCCATCCCCACACCGAGATGGGTTTCCCGGGCTCTCCCCATTATGGTTGGAGTCCCCATGGCCACTGGGAGAAGGCTCCAGTACATGTGGGCGGACAGAGCCGGGGGTGGGGGAGAACCTCAAAGCCTGCCACTCCCTGGGCTCCTCCCGGACAGACAGGAGACTGAGGTTCCCAGGGGCTGCAGGGACTTGCCCAAGGTCACACCTGCCAGTGGGCGGGAGCCCAGGTCTGGCTGCTGTCACCACGGTCTTAGACGTTGGGTCCCTTCCAACCTTGGCTCTGGAAAACCAAGCTGCTGTGAACATCTTGTTACAAATCACTTTTTAATTGTTTTCTCTTCCTCTTGGATGATTTCCTTGGGATCAATTCCCCGAAGTGGAAGGCCTGGGTCACCCGGCAGGCGCGGTGCTGTAGCTCTTCCCTCGGGGGGCTGCTCAGAACAGAGCCAATTCGCAGTGAGTCCCAAAACAGGGAGCCCAGTGCGGCCAGGCCAGCCCTGGGGTTTACGGCTTTCTGCTAATTTGGGAGAGTCCCTCCAGCCCTTGGGAACCTCAGTCTCTTCTTCTATCCATCCGGGAGGAGCCCAGAGAGTGGAAGGCTTTGAGGCTCCCCCAGGCCTGTCCTGCCTACACATGCTAGAGCCTTCTCCAAGAGGACATGGGGACTCCGGCCATGATGGGGAGGGCGCCGGGCCTACGGGAGAGCCCTGGAAACCCACCGCGGGGTGGGCGTTTCTCCCTGCACCGTGATGGGCAAAATCAGACGCATGACTCTGTTCAGAATTTGAGACCCTCCTTCGTCCGAATCTAGACAGGGGCTGTGGGCTTAGACCCCCATCTGGGGCATCTACTCATCACTGAGACCCCGGGCCTCGGAGGTTTTCTCTTTATGTATACGTGTTAACAGAAATATAACATAACAGTTAGCCTTTAACCATTTAAAAGTGTACCGCCAAGTGACATTAAGTACATTCACAGCCATCCCCCTTATCACTCGCCAGAGCTGCTTCATCTTCCCAAACAGAAACTCCCCGGCCCCTACAGCCACAAACCCACTCTGTGTCTGTGGATCGGCCTGTCCTGGACGTTTCCCATCCGTGGAGTCACACACCGTGGGTCCTTCTGTGTGCGGCTTCTCTCACTGAGCATCGTGGTCTCAGGGTCCACCAACGTGGTAGCGGGTGTCGGGGCTTCTCTCCTTTCCATGGCTGCGTGACGCCCTGTGTGTGGAGGGACACATGTGTTTGTGTGTCCATCCGCTGGTGGACACTCGGGTTGCTCCCACACTCTGGCCATTGTGAATCGTGCTGCCGTGGACACTGGTGCACAAGTGTCTCTTTGAGTCCCTGCTTTTGAGTCCTTGAGTGAAGGCCCAGGAGTGGAATTGTGGGGCCACATGGTGACTGTAACTTTCTCAGGAACCAACAGGTTTCTCTTGGAGTGGTTTTCTTTCCTATTTTGTCGATTGCCGCAGGGCTGGGCATCTCTCCATGTGGCCTTTGCTGCATCTGTCTGTCCTCGTGGGTAAATGCTGGACTCAGGACACTGTGCCTGGCCGTTAATATTCCTCAGATGGACGGGCCTTTTTCTGGGAGCACAGAATTCCCGGGTGGAGTTTTGGAATGGACCTCCAGGACTTGTATCGGTCCTGGGCATGTTTGGCCAGTCATCCCTTTTTCAGGTGTACTTATCACATGAAACATCCGAGCCGTGGCCAAGTCCCGTCCCTCAGGCTCTTCTGCCACCTGGCCCTGCGCTCTGCCGGGCAGGCCTTGGCTTCTCCCTTTTTCCCAGACGGCCTGGCACCCTGGCCTCTGTCCGGTCCCCAGCCCCCCCGGCTGCTACCTGAAATGGATGGACAGCCAGTGCCCCCTGTTCAGCCTTCCGGTGCCCCACTGGGAAGTCTGGCCAGGGTGGGGGTCCTGCACCTGGATGTCAAACTGTGGGTGTCCGGTGCCCACCCGGCACCTGCAGCCCCCGGCCGCCCAGCCACTCAACCCTCCTGGCTGCAGTTCCCACCCCCCGCCCCTCCAGCTCCTCCGCTTGTCTGTCTTCCCCTCCTGGCTCGGCCCTAGTGCTTTTTGGACGGCAGCCTTGTGCCAGGCACGTTGGGCCTTCTTGGTCCTGGGAAACATTTAGTCAATTTTTGAGCGGCCTCTTCCAGGTCTCCGGCTTCTTCAAGGAGAGAAGGTCAGGCTGGGCCAGAGAGAGGGACCTGGGCTGGGGGAGCCCAGCAGTGCTGTCTGGGGCTTGGGAGGGCTTCCTGGAGGCGGGGTCCACAGTAGCCGGGGCCAAAGTCTCCGCTTTGCCGGAGGAGGCGAGCGCTGGGCTGGTCTTCAAAGGCGCATGCGCGTGTGGTGGGGCAGGCAGGCTCCGCGGAGGGCCCCGCGCAAAGGTGGAGGTGTGACCACGTGACCGGCTGCACCTCGCCCCCAGGTTCTACTGGGACTTCACCATGCTGCTCTTCATGGTGGGAAACCTCATCATCATCCCCGTGGGCATCACCTTCTTCAAGGACGAGACCACGGCCCCGTGGATTGTGTTCAACGTGGTCTCGGACACATTCTTCCTCATGGACCTGGTGCTGAACTTCCGCACGGGCATCGTGATCGAGGACAACACGGAGATCATCCTGGACCCCGAGAAGATCAAGAAGAAGTACTTGCGCACGTGGTTCGTGGTAGACTTCGTGTCCTCCATCCCTGTGGACTACATCTTCCTCATCGTAGAGAAGGGCATCGACTCCGAGGTCTACAAGACGGCGCGCGCCCTGCGCATCGTGCGCTTCACCAAGATCCTCAGCCTGCTGCGCCTGCTCCGCCTGTCGCGCCTCATCCGCTACATCCACCAATGGGAGGAGGTGAGCACGGCTGCACGTTGGCGCAGGGGCGGGGTCATGGGCGTGGGCAGGGTCGTGATGAGCGAGGAGGAGTGGTGACGCGGATGCAGGCGTGGGGTCTGTGGGGTCGTGATGGGCTGGAGCGGGGCTAGGATGTAGGGGCGCGGGGTTGTGATGAGCCCTGAGGGGGTGGTGATGGGTGAGGATGCCGTGATGGGACCCGGCCATTGGCTGCAGGAGGGGGGCAAGGAGGCACCAGGAACAAAAAGGCGGGGCCATGATGGGAGACTCTGGGCGGGGCTACCGGGGTCCAGGGACAAGGTCACAGTGAGAGGACAGGTGGGGATACAGGCAAACGAGCGGGGTCATTGGGTGGGGCACTGGGCGGAGTTACAGGGACTGCAGTGAGGGGCCTAGGAACCTTAGGGGTGGAACCTGGGCCTCGGAGCGGGGGCGGGGGGCACGGGGCGCGGTCACAGGAGCTTGTACCCGGTGGAGGGTCGGGGGGTCACAGGGAGCGCAGCATGGACGCTTAACGCATCCGCACCGCTCTCCTTCCTTCTACCCTGTAAGAGGCATACTCCACAGCCCCGGTGGCAACGGGGAAGCTGAGGCTCCGAGAAGCGAAATCACGCCCCTCTCCCCCAAGTTCAGACCCGCCTCTGGACTGTGACCTGATTCCTGAAGCCCGCGGCCACCACGCGGGCTCAGAGTCGCCGCCACTGTCCAGGACAGCAACTAGGCTCCGAGGCGGGGAGTGGGTGGGGACAAGGCTGCGGAAAGAGGCCGTGGTCCTGGGAGAGGGCAGTGGGCAGACGGCCAGGCAGAGAGATTTGGGCGCCCGGGGCGGCAGGCCGAGCAGGGGGCCATGTGCTCTAGTCTAGGGTGCTGCATTACCTTGAAAGGCAACGGGTCTCACAGGAGCGGGGGCCCCACCGGCCGCGTGGGGGGCGTGGTGAGGTGGGGCGGCTCCCAAGGGGAGTGGGCCCTGCGGAGGGCTTCGTCCTCCCACTGCCCGGGTCGCAAGAGGCCGTGGGCGGAGGCCTCTCCCTCGCACACCGTCTGCGGGACTCTCACGGACGCCGCCCCACCCCCCAGATCTTCCACATGACCTATGACCTGGCCAGCGCGGTCATGCGCATCTGCAACCTCATCAGCATGATGCTGCTCCTGTGCCACTGGGACGGCTGCCTGCAGTTCCTAGTGCCGATGCTGCAGGACTTCCCGCGCAACTGCTGGGTCTCCATCAACGGCATGGTGGTGAGCCCCGAGCCCCCCGCCCCACATCCGCTCCCGGAGCGCACGGCGCCTGAAACACTCCTCTGGGGGTGAGCGCCCCTCTGGGCTGCTGTCCGACTTCGAGCCTTGCCTTGCAGACCCCGGGACCATGGAGATCTTTGACCGTTTGAGGGCTATAGGACAGTTTCTGCCCCCCAGGGATCGCATCATCTGCTTACTGTGCTTTGCGATGCATTCCACTTTTTAATTTGCATACATGTATTTAAAAGACAGTTTTATATCATAGCCCTCAAATGGAAAAGTGGTATCATGGGCCGTGAGAGATAAAAATTGGAGACTCACAAGCACCTATTACTTCCTGGCTGAGACGCTGAGTGTTAAAAGCTTTCCTCCTGCACGTGGGGCACAGGGCAGGTGGGCATTGACGGGCGGGAGCAGCGGAGGGAAAACCCGTGGGTGCCCAGCCGGCGCCTGGCACAGCTGCCTGGCTGAGGCAGCTCACTGTCTGGCCGGACACCCAGGCATGTGGTCCTGTTTCCTGAACGGGGCCCGCTGCCCCCTCCCCTAGCCGGGTCAGCTGAGGACTGGGAAGGGCTCCTGGTCCTGCCTGATGCCTCCCCCCTCTCCGCCCCTCTGATCAGATGCCAGTGTCCCCAACTCACTGTCTCCGGGGTCCCCGGAACTTTCCCATTCTCTTGGCCTCACAGACACTCTCATCAGAGGCTGAAAAGTGGTGGGGGCTCCTGAGCCCCCAAGGCTAGACTCTGGCCCCTCCGAGCCTCAGTTTCCCAGGACTGAAGTGGGGAGGCGGCTTCAGACCCGCACCTGCTGCTGAGTGGCTGTGATGTGTGCGCACAGCCACGTCAGCTGCCTGAGTCTCAGTTTCCCTTGGTTACCTCTGGAAGACACGGAGCTCACCACCTGGATGCCTGGGGGAGGACGGGCAGGCGGGGCCCTGGGGGGGTGGTGTGTGTCAAGGGGCTCCCTGGGGGCCGCGAGCGCCCACCCACCCGCCCACCCGCCCGTGGCCTTGCAGAACCACTCGTGGAGTGAGCTCTACTCCTTCGCGCTCTTCAAGGCCATGAGCCACATGCTGTGCATCGGGTACGGGCGGCAGGCACCCGAGAGCATGACGGACATCTGGCTGACGATGCTGAGCATGATCGTGGGCGCCACCTGTTACGCCATGTTCATTGGCCACGCCACTGCCCTCATCCAATCGCTGGACTCCTCGCGGCGCCAGTACCAGGAGAAGGTGAGAGGGGGCGGCACCCCACATCCCCCCAGCTCTGTGGAGGAAGGAAGTCTGGAGCCTGGAGGGGGACAGGGCAGGAGGGGTTGAGGGAGACACAGGCCAAGGGAGGGGACGGGAGCCAGAGGGGTCCGAACAGGACAGGGCCAGTCCAAGGGGCATCAGGGGGCTCCAGGCGGGGGGGAAGGTCTCTGGGCCGTCTCGGGAGGGGCTGGGGTCCTAGGGTCGCTCAAGGACACGGGGGAAGCCTCTGGGGGAGCAAGGATGTCCTGGCACTTGGCCTTGGTGGGGGAACCTCCGTGGAGCCAATCCAAGGGCTGTGGGCCGGGAAGGGCCGAGAGAGGGCGGGTGCGACCCCACAGGCCAGCCCTTTCTGGAGGTCAGCCTCAGTCTCCCCTCCCTAAGGCCAAGGGGGGCCTGGTCCCTGGGACATCGCCCCATTGGCCCTGCACTGCTATCCGGTGGCTGGCCTTGGCCAGGCAGCTGCAAGCCCCCAAGCAGTGCCCAGCAGTCGGGTCGGCTGGGTCAGCTGGGCCTGGTGCCAGGCACCCCGGCTGTCCGGAAGCCACCAGCCTCCTACCCAAACATGAACTGGTGCCGCCACCCGCCTGCCGTCACGGGTTCCGCTGAGCTCAGGGCAGCTGTGGCCAGGCGGGGCTGGGCTGATTTCTAGAAAGATCATTGGGGAGGGGAGCCAGGGCCACCAAAGGGTCTGGGACCTCTGGGGCGGGGGCCAGTACAGCCCCCTCTAAGGGCTGGGGGTGGGGTGCTGGTGGCGGGAAAGGGTTGCCAGATGAAATTCAGGACGGGACTTCCCAGTGGTCCAGGGGTTAAGACTCCACACTGCCACTGTAGGGGACACGGGTTCCACCCCTGGTAGGGGAAGTTCTGCATGCCGTGTGGTATGGCCAAAAAAAAGGAAATTCAGGACATAGCAATAACTTTTTTTTTTTAATTCATTCATTCATTTCTGGCTGTGTTGGGTCTTCGCTGCTACGCGTGGGCTTTCTCTAGTTGCGGTGCGTGGGCTTCTCATTGCAGTGGCTTCTCTTGCTGTGCAGCGCGGGCTCAGTAGTTGTGGCGCACGGGCTCTAGAGCGCAGGCTCAGTAGTTGTGGCGCACAGGCTTAGCTGCCCCAGGCTTAGCTGCTCCACGGCACGTGGGATCTTCCAGGATCAGGGCTCGAACCCGTGTCCCCTGCACTGGCAGGCGGATTCTTGACCACTGCACCACCAGGGAAGTCCCCTGCCCAGGATATCCTTATCTGGGGCATTTTGGTCGTTTATCTGAAGTTCAGCTCGCCCTGGGCATCTCGTATTGTGTTACTGTTAAGTCGAGGCCCACTCGGGGCGGGGGCTCGGGAGCGGCAGCCGCTGACCCGGGCCCCCCCCCGCCCTGTTACAGTACAAGCAGGTGGAGCAGTACATGTCCTTCCACAAGCTGCCTGCTGACTTCCGCCAGAAGATCCATGACTACTACGAGCACCGCTACCAGGGCAAGATGTTCGACGAGGACAGCATCCTGGGCGAGCTCAATGGGCCCCTGCGGGAGGTGAGGTGGGGGTCCGCGTGCGGAGGAGGGTCCTGGGGGAGCCCCACGGGCCCCTGCAGGAGGTGAGGGGCGGGGTGCTCACTCCAGAGGCTCCAGGGAGGGTCCTTCCTGCCCCTCCCAGCTCCTGTTGTGGCCCATGGTTCTCGGTGTCCTTGGCTTGTGGACACGTCACCCTGGCCTCTTCCTTCATCTTCACGTGGCCTGTTCCTGTGTCTCTGTGTCCCCTCCTCTGTAAGGACACCAGCCACTGGGTTCAGCACGACCTCATCTTAACCAATCACACCTGCAAAGACCCTGTTTCCACATCTGGCCCCGTTCACACGTACCAGGGCTCAGGACTTCAGCGTATGACGGTGGTGGGCGGACAGTTCAACCCGTGACCCTCAGCAAGCAGTTACTGGGCGCCAGCCGTGTGCCCTGCCCTGTTTCCAGGGAGGTGGTGCCAGAGGGGAAGCTCTGGGAGGGATGGAGTGGGGAGGGGCTTGGGGCGACTCACAGAGGGCAAGTGTGAGCCTGCGTGGCCCTGAGGAGGGACAGGAACGGGCGCTAGGATTTCTCCCGAGGGTGGAGGTGCCTCCCAGCAGGCAAGCACTGTGGCTACCTGCAATGAAAATATTCGCTGGGTAATTATTTTCATTCATTCGCTCATTTACAGACAAACACGTCACAGACCACAAAATGCATGAAATGCCGTGTCGAGTGTATTCAGAGTGGTGCCACCACTGCCGCCTAATCCCGCGGCCTGGCCTCCCCGGCTGCTCAGGACACCCGGCCCTCACTCCCCATTCCCCTCCCGCCAGCCCCTGGCGACCTGTGTTTGATCATTACTTAGGTGTTTACATAAAGTCAAATTTACAAAACCAGATATATTCAGAAAATGCCCGTCTTCTGTCCTGTCCCTCTGCCCGGTTTCCTCCTGCTCTCTCCATCCATTTTCTGCCTTTTTAACAAAACAAAGGCGGGCAGGCCTCCGGGGTGTCCGTGCCTGGCGCTCCCTCTCTGGGTCCTGTTATGCTTTGTGGGAGGAGCTCGCGGCACAGGGCAGAGGCGAGGGTGGGATCGGGGCCCGGCCGGTCTGTCCAGATTCCCCTCCGAGGGCGCCACGAGGGAGACGGTCCCAAAACGCCCAGGTGAGAGGTGCACCCCTCAGGTGCGATTCTCTTATTTTCCTGCCATCAGGGGCTTATTTGCATTTCTTTCTGTAAACTGTTTATAACTTTTGCTTGTTTTCCTACAGAACTTTTGGTCTTTTTGTTGTTTTTATTATTTTTTGAAAATTGGGAGCGATTTATTTATTTATTTATTCATTTATTTATTTATGGCTGCGTTGGGTCTTCGACGCTGCATGCGGACTTTCTCTAGTTGCGGCGAGCGGGGGCTACGCTTCGTTGCTGTGCGCGGGCTTCTCCTTGCAGTGGCTTCTCTTGTTGCAGAGCATGGGCTCTAGGCACGCGGGCTTCAGTAGTTGTGGCTCTCGGGTTTAGCTGCTCCGTGGCCTGTGGGATCTTGCCGGACCAGGGCTCGAACCCGTGTCCCCTGCATTGGCAGGCGGATTCTTAACGACTGCACCACCAGGGAGGTCCCTGGCCATTTTATCTTTAAAACTTGCTTACTGTGGTTTTATTCCCCCACGTGTGGAATTTTTGTGCCCTGTACGTCAGGTGCTGCATGTATGCTTGCTGTACACAGTAAGTGTTCAATGTGTGCTTGTGTAACAGAGCGAGTGTTACAGTGTTCAGTGTTTGCCTTCTGTACGCAGCAGGTGCTCAACACCTGACTGCTGTACACAGTAGGTCAATATCTACTCTCTGCAGACATCAGGCACACAGTACATGCTCGCTGTATACAGCAGGTGCCCAATACCTGCTTGCTGTACACACCCAGGCTTTAGAGGAATTTGCCCATGTTTTCTTCTAATACTTGTAGGGTTTCATTATTGGCATGTAGACCCCCTATGCCTTTGGAATTTATCGTGGAATCTGGCGTGAGGAAGGGATCCAGTCTTATCTGCTGTGTGGGGCTGAACCATCTGGCTCTGCCCCGAGACTTGGTGGGGGAGGGGCACCTTAGGCTGAAGTTCCCTCCTGCTTGGGTCTATTTCTGGACTTTTCATCTGTCCCATCGGCCTGTCTGCTCTGTGTGCGCCAAACCCACTCTGCATCGCAGAGGTTTGCGATGTGCTTCGGTGTCTTAGAGGGTGAGTTCCCCCTCCCTGCTTGTCTTTGTCACGGGCTTCCTGCTACTTCTGCTCATTTGTTCTAAATGCACTTGACTAGCCCCGGTTATCGAGAAGCGAGCTGGGCGGCATTTCCACAGGGCTCTGTGTCCTGTACCCCTGCCCGGGGAGAACGGGTGTCTTCCGTCTCGAAGATGGTGAGCAGCACTCTCTAAGGACACAATGTGTTCAAGGCTCTTCTGTGCCTCTGGGAGGGTTTTCAACGTTTCCTCATATAGATTTGGCCATGTCTTGGTAAACTCGTGCCATGGCATCTCACTTAGCTCTTTATGTGGGTGGAAATGGGGTCTTCTCATCCATTACGTCTTCTTCGAAGTGCCTTTCGTTTGCCTGTACAAAAGCTGTGGATTTTTTTTTTAATTAATTATTTTTGGCTGTGTTGGGTCTTTGTTGCTGCATGCGGACTTTCTCTAGTTGAGGCAAGCGGGGTCTACTCTGTGCAGTGCGCAGGCTTCTCATTGCAGTGGCTTCTCGTTGCGGAGCATGGGCTCTAGGGCGCGCAGGCTTCAGTAGTTGTGGCGTGCGGGCTCAGTAGTTGTGGCTCGCGGGCTCTAGCGCACAGGCTCAGTAGTTGTGGCGCACGGGCTTAGCTGCTCCGCGGCATGTGGGATCCTCCCGGACCGGGGCACGAACCCGTGTCCCCTGCATTAGCAAGCGGACTCTTAACCACTGCGCCATCAGGGAAGCCCGATTTTCTTTGTAAGGTAAGCAAAGTGCCCCGTCATTAGGGCACACCCGATGGATGCTCCGTCAGGTGAAATCCCATGACCCCCACCCAGATCAAATACGGAGCATTTCCATCCCGCAGAGGCTTCTTTGCCAAGGATAACCGTCATCCTGACTTCTACCCCCGTGGATTCGTTTTAAGGCTCTTGGTTTTCATGTTGGTTTTTTTAACCACTTGCTATTTTGACAAATTTCCCTTGTTACAGTTTTCCATTGACTCTTCCGGGTTTTTCAGGCAATCCCATTAATACAGATAGTAAAGAGATAGTTTTACTTTTTCCTTTCCAATTCTTACGTCTCTGAATGCTCTTCGTGTCTAACTGCATCGGCCAGTATCGCCAACACAGAGTTCAACAGTAGAGGATCTTGGGAATCTTTTCTTGATCCTGTCTTTGGTGGCAAAACCTCCAGTGTTTGCCTATTAAGATGCTGGCTTTCAGGCTAACGTGTTAAATCCCTTTCACAAACCGAAGGTCTGAGAGGTGCAACAGTCCCAAAGGTAGGGTGCGATGGAGGATCGGGTGTGCGCCCTGCCGTCACCCCCGCCTCCCACCCCTACAGGAGATCGTCAACTTCAACTGCCGGAAGCTGGTGGCCTCGATGCCACTGTTTGCCAACGCCGACCCCAACTTCGTCACGGCCATGCTGACCAAGCTCAAGTTCGAGGTCTTCCAGCCAGGTGACTACATCATCCGTGAGGGCACCGTTGGCAAGAAGATGTACTTCATCCAGCATGGGGTGGTCAGTGTGCTCACCAAGGGCAACAAGGAGATGAAGCTGTCCGATGGCTCCTACTTCGGGGGTGAGTGTCTGTGGGCAGGGGTGCTGGCGGCGGACGGAGGTCAGGGTGGGGAACCCGAGCAGCAGAAAGGCCCTGGGGTGGTGGGGGGCGGGGCTGGACTGCTCTGCTGGCTGGGAGGGCCCTGGGGACAGCTGGCTTGGGCCGCTGGGTGTGGCCCAGCAGTGAGGACGCTGCCCCGGCTGCACGCAGAGATCTGCCTGCTGACGCGGGGCCGGCGCACGGCGAGCGTGCGGGCTGACACCTACTGCCGCCTCTACTCGCTGAGCGTGGACAACTTCAACGAGGTGCTGGAGGAGTACCCCATGATGCGGCGGGCCTTCGAGACGGTCGCCATCGACCGCCTGGACCGCATCGGTGAGTGGGCCCAGCGGTCAGCCTCAGTGGCTGTCGGGGGGCCGCCTGAGGAGTGGGGTGGCATGGCCCAGCTGACCCTCAGGGCCCCTTCTGACCCCCGGACCGGATTCCTTGACCCACTTTCTCCCTTGGCCAGACACGGCCCCGGTTTCCCAAGGATGGGGAAATGGGTGTTTCTGCTCCCTAGGCAAATGTTTGAGCACCTACTGTGTGCCAGGAGGTGTAGATGTGGCCCATGAGGCTGACGGGGTGGCTACCCTCAGGCTTGTCACAGAGGAGGGGATGTCCTTGTGACTCCAAGTGGAGACCCAGATGGGTAGGCGTTGCCGGTAGAAAGACAGAGGCATGTTCTGGGAGTGGAGACAGCATGTGCCAAGGCCCTGAGGTGGGAAAGAGGCCTGGAGTCCAGGGACTCAGGGAAGCTGGGAGGGAGGCGGGCACCAGGCACATGAGGCCACAGGGCTGTAGAGGAAGGCGCTTGGGCTGTAGGTCAGAAGCATTGGGGAGCCATGGATGATCCCAGGCAGGGGAGGACCTGATCAGGACCTGTGCACTTTATGAGAGTGGGCATATGGAGGAATCTGGTGGCCTGGCCTGTGTGTGGGGGGGGTGGCTTTGGGTAAAGGGAGAGGTGGCCGGGCAGGGGGAACCTTAGAAATGGCTAAGGACTTGCTGAAGACTAGAGCAGGATTCAGAGAGGTAGAGGCCCTTGGTGCTATGTGTGGGAATAAAGACAGCGAATGGCTGGAGAAGCAAAATGGGGTGCGGTAGGGAAGAGTTGTTAAGACTTCCCAGTACGCAGAAAGCACTCAACGTGTTTATGTTATAAGAGGCGCTTAAATTTTTGCTCTGTACAGTATTTGCTCGATGTGTTTGCTATATACAGTAAGCACTCAACCCATGCTTGCTACGTACACGGCAGGCATTCAGCATGCCGGCCGTGTACAGGCAGGAGTCTGCGTGGGCTGCTGTGCACAGTAAGTGTCTGATACCTGCGTGGTGTACACAGCAGGTGCACGATACATGCTTGCTGTATACAGGAAGTGCTCCCTGCATGCCAGCAGGATTCGGGTGTCTCATACTTGCTTTGTGTGTGAAGCAGGTGCTTGACGTGTTTGTTTGCTACACACAAAGGTGCTTGATTCATGCTTGCTGTATACGGTAGGTGTACTAGTTCAGCTTCCTATACACAGCAGACACTTGGCATGTTTGCTGTGTGCAGGAGGGGCTCCATTCGTGCTGGCTGTTCAGGGCAGGCACTCAGATGCAGGCCTACTGCACGCAGAAGGCGCTCCACACGTGTGTGCAGCGCACGGCAGCAGGCAACTCTGACGCGCCCCCCTCCCCTAAACCAGGCAAGAAGAACTCGATCCTGCTGCACAAGGTGCAGCACGACCTCAACTCGGGCGTGTTCAACAACCAGGAGAACGCCATCATCCAGGAGATCGTCAAGTACGACCGCGAGATGGTGCAGCAGGCCGAGCTGGGCCAGCGCGTCGGCCTCTTCCCGCCGCCGCCGCCGCCGCCGCCGCAGGGCGCCTCGGCCATTGCCACGCTGCAGCAGGCCGTGGCCATGAGCTTCTGCCCGCAGGTGGCGCACCCGCTCGTCGGGCCCCTGGCGCTCGGTTCGCCGCGCCTCGTGCACCGCTTGCCCCCCGGGCCCGCGCCCACGGCCGCCTCGCCCGGGCCCGGGCCTGCTGCCAGCCCCCCGGGCGCGCCCTCCAGCCCCCGGGCACCGCGGACCTCGCCCTATGGCGGCGTGCCTGGCTCACCTGCTGCGCCCTGCGCCGGGCCCGCGCTGCCCGCGCGCCGCCTGAGCCGCGCCTCGCGCCCGCTGTCCGCCTCGCAGCCCTCGCTGCCCCACGGCGCACCCGGCCCTGGCCCCGGCCCCGGAGCCTCGGTGCGCCCGGCCAGCAGCTCCACGCCGCGCCTGGGGCCTGCGCCCGCCGCCCGGGCCGCAGGGCCCAGCCCGGACCGCAGGGACTCGGCCTCGCCCTCACCCTCACCTGGCGCCACCGGCGGACCCGACCCGCTGGACTCCGCGCGCTCACGTCTCTCGTCCAACTTGTGACCCTTGCGCGCCCCCCTGTGGCCCAGCCAGGCCGGGGCGGGGCTGTCACTCAGACCAAAGCCATGCCATTGCGCAGCCCGGGCCGCCCGCCCCAGAAGCCATAGAGGAGACGTAGGTAGTTGTAGTCGGACGGGCGACCCGGGCCGGCGGGACACCCCCGCCAAGCCACCCATCGCCCTGAGCCCACCCACATTGCCCCTGCCCCCGGCGGCCCCGCGGACGCGCGGGCGAGGGGGCTCCCTTCACCTCGGTGCCTCAGTTCCCCCAACTGTGAAGCGGGGACAGGCCGGCCGGGGCCAAGGGGAAGAGGGCCGCGGAGCCCCGCCCGCGCCCGCCCTCGCCCTCCAATGAGGATCTGTTTTTAAGTGCAATACTTAGCCCGCCGGCTTCCCGCTGCCCCCATCGCGCTCACGCAATAACCAGCCTGGTCCCTGTCCACGTGCGTCCGCGGTGACCGCCCCGGAGTGGGCACATACCACTCCCTCCAGCACCCCAGCGTAGGGGCGAGGCTGGGGGGGGGGTCCCTGCCGTCATGGTGAATGTACTGACGAGCCGAGGCAGCAGCGCCCACTGCGCCCCCCACGCCCCACTAAGCCCCACGCCCCCATTCCGCGCAATAAACGACAGCATTGGCGCCCAGCCTGCCGCGTATGATCGCTCTGCCTGGACCCAGCGCGCAGCCCACCCCTCCCCGAGGCAAGCAGCCCCCACGTGGTGACAGACCTTTATTCACACTAAGGTACAGGGAGGCAGCACGGGCCGTCAGCTGAAGAAGTACGTGGAGTGCTTCACCTGCTCCAGGTTGAATGTCCCTGCGGAGCAGAGCAGAAGGCTGGGGGCGGGCCCTGGGGAAGGCCCTGCCCCAGCCCGGTGAGGGGCCGTCCAGCCCTGGGCCTCACCTGTCTTGGGCACAGACAGCAGCGTGTCCATCAGCCTGGAGACCCAGATGCTCTTGGAGGTCCTGAGGGCAAAGGCCGGGTGGGGGTAAGGCTGGGGCGGCCTGGGGAGGGAGCGGCCTCTATGGTGCTGGGCTGGGGGGGCCTCACCTGGGGTCGGAGCAGAACCGCTCAATCAGGAACCTGGACAGGTTGTGGAGAATGGGCTGGCTGTGCAGACGGACGAACTGCTCGCGACAGACCTGCGATGGGGGGGGGGGGGGGGGGGGGGGGCCGGCAGCCAGGGGCCAGGCCCAAGGGGCGGGGGGACTGGGCTTCCCAGGTCAGGAGGGGATGAGGTCGGGGGCGCGAGAGCCGGGGGTGTCCGCCCTAGTGGGGGTGGGCCTGCACCTGGTTCATGACCGCAACGTCAGCGGCGTGGGTCCAGAAGCAGTCGTGCACCGAGACGAAGGTCAGGCCCTTCCTGCGGCAGCAGTGAGGGGCCCCCGTGGAGAGGCCACGCCTTGAGGTCCCCTCCCTCACAATCCACACCCCACCGCCGCCCAGCACTGGCCCAGCTCTCACCTCAAGCCCCTCCCCACCGCTCAGTCGGGGGGCCCACTGTCCAGTGACGCCCACTCTCCTCTCGCCTCTCACCCCCACACACTCCAGCAGCTGTCTGTGCGCCACACGTGCCCCTCAGCAGGCAAGTGACAAGTTCTCCTCTTAGGAAGAAGCCTCTTTGCCACCCTACCCCCAGCTGCCACCCAACTGATTCTCAGCTTCCCGTAGGGGATGGCTGAGGCTGGGCCCCCTTCCACCACAGGGCTCCATCCCAGGGGTCCCCGAGCCACCCCAGGGGGGCACAGGAAGAACACAGAACTCCCACAGCAGTCTGGCTCAGTGCGGCCACACCCCCCCCCCACAGGAACAGCCGTTTCTAACAGAACCGTGAGAAACTAGACACCCTCTGCCTGCCCCGGCAGGTGCACACACGTCAAGAGCAGGCCACACAGCAGGCTGGGCCCGCGGACCCTCCGACGGCCAGCTGCACACTTGGAGTCCCTCCCCTGCCCAGTCAGCCACATCCCAACCCCTCCCTGCCTCGAGGCCTGTCGCCTCTGGGGCACCAGGTCCCCCAGACCCCCACAGCTTCGGTCCTCGCCTGACCCCATCCCCAGCGGGCGGCACCCACCGCGGCGTCCCCAGCCCTGGTGCACCTGTAGCAGTGCAGGGCCGTGAGCATCATGTGCGAGGAGTCCAGTGAGTGGATGAAGTTGGGCGGGAAGCCGTTCTTCTGCTTCAGCGTGTTGGGCTTCCTGGGGGCGGGGTGCAAGGTGGGGGACTCTGGAGCCTCAGCCCGGCCCGGCCCAACCCCAGTGGCCTCCTGGCCCCGCCCCCCACCCTGTGCACTCACTGGCTGGTGTCCACGCTGCTGCTGAAGGTGAGGCTCTGGAGCCCGCCTTTGATCTGCAGGGTAGGGGCGGTAGGGGCAGGGGCGTTGAGTCCTGCCTGGCGCGGCAGCGGCGGGGGGCGGGGGGAGCGGGGGGGCTGCACATACCATGACCTTGGAGTCACGGTGGTAGGGCTGGATGATGGGGATGCCCAGGGGCGTGACCCACTCCACGGCCGAGCCCGTGTGGGAGATGAGCCGGGCGCTCTCGGTCAGCCAGCGCTGCAGGGACGGACACCGGGCTCAGGGGGGCCGGGTCTGGGGAGCCACGGCCGACGGGGGGCAAGGGGAGGATGAGGCCTCACCTGGATGGACCGGGTGCCCGAGAACATCTCCTGCAGGCTGTTGAACACCTGGCGCACGAGGTAGTGAGAAGCCTCCCACACGAAGTCCTGGGGAGAGGGTGAGGGGAGGGCGTGGGCGGGGCCCAGGTTCCCTCTACAACGCCTGATGGCCCTGGGCCAGTGACCTCGCGCACTCTTGAGGGGGTGGGCTCGCTCCCATGGGCCCCGCTGGAGGACCCCACGGTGGGCAGAGACAAGACCCTGTGTCAGGACCGCCTGCTGCCCAGCGGCCACCTGCTACAGGACAGTGGCCGGCAGGATCTGGAGTCTCGGCCCTGCGCACCTGGGGGAAGTCGTGGATCTCCCGGAGGCGCTTCTCGATCTGCAGGCGGCCCCCGTAGCGGGTGACCCCGTACACCACAGTCATCACCGTCTGCTTGACCACCTTGCGGCTGATGAAACCCTCCAGCACCTGGGCCACCTGCACACCCTGTTCGGCGTCCTGTCTGCGGAACACCTCCACCTGTTGGAGCAGGGGTCAGTGGGCGGGGCATCAGTGGGCGGGGCCGTGCCCACCCAGAAGCCTCCCACCCCGAGGCTCCTTCTCTTCCCCTGGACCTCACCATTGCCCCCTCTGACACGTCCCCCAGGAACCCTGCCTGACTGCCGGGTCACCTGACAGTTGGCGGCCGTGGCAGTGGGGTCCACAGCACCCAGATGTTCGACAGACAGACCCGGGTGGGGCTGGGGGATAAGAGCAAGCGGGGGCGGGGTGGGTGCGCACCTGTGCCGCCACCTCACTGTACACGTCCTGCGGCAGGTCCGAGGGCAACAGGTTGACGGAGGCGGCCCCCACGCTGTCCCGGCCCAGGGCGGCGTAGTGCTGCAGGCCGTTACAGGAGCCGTCCTGGGCGAGGGGTGGAAGAGTGAGGCGCAGGGAGCGAGGGGCGGGGCAAGGCGAGCTCCAGGCTTCCCCAGCTCCGCTCACAGCGAGCTCCCTGGACCTCCCACAAAGCGGAATCGAGGCACAGAAGGGGGGGCGGCGTGCCTGCACAAGCTGCTCGCCGTGGGAACACCAGCCTGTGCAGAGTGGGATGGCCAGGTGCCAGACACCCGGGCCATCCCTCGGCGCCTCAGCCCGAGCGAGACACCTCTGGCAGGGGCCCGCAAGGGCAGGGCATGCTCCACACCAGAGTCCCCTGGCTCACCTGGTGAACTGGGAAGTGGGAGACGTAGGCAGCGGGGTCGGGGGCGCGCACCGCCCGGGCGACCTCCATGCAGCAGGCCAGGGCTTGCCAGGGCTCATCCGCCTCCATCCACCACTTGCGGCCCTGCAGGAAGCAGCAGGCTGGGTGAGGCCAGCCCCGGCGGGGTCAGAGCCAGCCTGGGGGCACCTCCCGGGCGGGTCCAGGTGTCGTGGGGACAGGTGTGGACAGAGAACAGGAGTGACAGACCAGGGAGGGGCCAGCCTGGAGGGAGGCCTATTGCGGCATGGGAGGCTGCTGATGGCCCAGGACAGAGGGAAAGACAAGCAGAGGGGTGCCTGGGAAGAAGTAGGGGGCGGGGGGTGCCTGCATGGGTCTGAGGTGGGTGCCGCGGCGGCCAGGAGAGCCAGACGGTCAGGGGTCAGGGGTCAGGGCCCAGCTGCTGTCCTCCCCACGCCACCCACCGTCATGGGCCGGTCCGCCGAGTCCAGGATGTCCTCCATCAGCTCGTCCGCATAGTCCCGGCGTGCCTGCAGCGACTCGCGCTTCTTGAGCCCCGTGAGGTTGACCAGATGGATCTTGAGCCAGTTGAGGCCGTGCGGGCCGAGCGGGCGGCCCTGGGCGAACTCCAGCAGTGCGCGGGCCAGGTCGCTGCCCAGGTGGTTGAAATGCGGTGAGCAGGGATAGGTCCGGCCGCGGAAGTCCATGTTGTGCGGCAGCCAGAAGACACGGTGCCGCAGGTGCCGGGCCAGCGACAGGCGGTACAGCGCATCGGCGCGCAGGCTCTGCATCTCCCGTGCCACCTTGAGGCGCCGGGCCAGCTCCCGCCGCATCTCAGCCTTTTCAGCAGGCGAAACCTCGGGCAGCAAGCAGCGCTTGGGAGCCCGACGGCCCTCGGGTGGCCGGGGGGCCTCGGAGGGCGGGGCGGGCACACCCAGGCGAGGGCAGCCCTTGTCAGCGAAGAGCTGCAGCACCAGGTCCAGCACGCGCCCGTTGACCCGCCAGGCACAGTTGCCCAGCTGGGTGAGGGCATCCAGAGCACCGTGCAGCTCGGCAGGCGGGCAGCGCTCCAGCAGGAGCTGGTGCTGCTGGCTGCCCTCCACTGAGCGCATCATCTTGGTGGGGCTCAGCAGAAAGGCGCCCGAGTGGGGCGACGTCCAGGGCAGCGGTGGGCACAGCATGGGCACGTCCGTCGACTCAAAGGTCAGTGTGCGCTCTGCCGCCGTCTCCAGCAGCTGCGTGAAGGCGGGGTGAGGCTTCAGGATGCCGATCTGGGGGCGGGGCAGGCAGAGAAGGTCAGGGGGCTGCCCCAAAGGCCGTGGAGGAGGGCCCCGGGGTCCCCTCAGACGCCCTGACCCTGAGACCAGGTCTGAGGCCACAGCACAATTCTGGCAGGATCCCACCGTGGCCCAGGGGCCCTGCACCACCCAGAGCCCACGGCCTCCTCGCACGCCCGTCCCCACAGTGGCCCACCTGGCGGAAGCTGCGGAAGGAGTACACATGGTAGAGCACAGGGATGAGCGTGCCGGGGCTCCGGGGCGCTGCCAGGCTGCTGGGCATCTGCGCGGCCCGCACCAGCACCTCCGCCAGCTGCTTGCCCAGCTGCACCACCACTGACATGGGCCAGGGCTGCTCGTGGGGGGCCTCAGGCACCCCCAGTGCCTCCCAATGCTGCCGTGGCAGGCACGGTTCCGCCACCTGCGAGCGGGAGGGTGGCTCAGGGGGAGGAGAGTCTGGGTGCAGAGCTGGAGACCACCACCCACCCCCAGGGAGGGGTGAGCTGACTGCTATCCCAGGGTTAGGTGAGGAAAATGAGGTGGAGTCTGGGGGCAAATCCAGCCGCCTCAGGAAAGGGGAGAGGAGAGAGGGGAGGGGACCTCCGCTCAACGCCTGGGTTTCCCCACCCGGGCTCCCTGGGCCTCACCTGGGTGTCGGAGGCCAGCAGGTGCAGGTACTTGGAGTAGCGCTGCTCCAGTTCCTGCACCTCGTTTCTGAGCTGCTTCCTCTTGAAGACACGCAGACCCAGCTCGTGTGCCAAGAAGAGAAGTGACTCTCCCTGCGCGGGCAGCGCCTGGAGGGTCTGGAGGGCAGCGAGCGCCATGAGCCCCGCGCTCCGTGTGGAACCCGCAGGCACACTCGCAGCAGCCCCTCCCCCCGGCCCCGCGCGCACCTGCAGCAGCATCCTCACAACCTCCTTCTCACTGAGCAGGCACAGGTACGGGAAGAGTGAGAGGCGGCCTTCTCGAGCAGCGTGGGCCTCGCTCTCCTTGGTCTCTTGCAGCTCCCGGTACAGCGCCGTCCTCCATCGGGTGCGCAGGCCTGCCAGGGTCTTCCGCTGGGGGGAGGGGGTACACAAGGAGTCATCACCGTGCCCACCCAAACCTGCAGCCCGCGAGGCCCCAGCCCTATGCCTGGCAGTGCCTGGCTCAGTGGGGGGGCGGGGGGGTGGTTGCCGTGCAGCCGGCCTCCCCCACGCGACCCTGCCCAGGCAGGGGACGCCCAGCTCAGCCGGAGCGGACCACCCCCCAGCCCCTTACCGCATGCAGGACCTCCTTGGTCAGCAGTGGAACCTTCTCCACGGACTCCACGGTGATGGTGGTGGCCATCTCCACGCGAAGCTGCTGTTGGAAGAGGCCCTGCAGCTCCTTCAGGGACAAGTGCAGCCTCGGGTAGGACACAGCGGGATCCTGCTGGTGGCAACAGGCTGGTGGTGAGGTGCCGGTGCCTGACCTCTCGACCTGAGTCCCCCAGGGTTCCATCCACACCCGAGGTCAAGAAGAGCAGCTGTCCACCGTACACATGCCAGGACCCCGCCCGCCCCCCCGGCAGAATCACAGTCATTTTCCCAAGTCTCCTGAAAACCATCTATCCTTAACGCTGCGGGGGGAGCAGGGCCCAGGACAGTAAGACAACGATGCTGGTGTAACAGCATCTGCTGGCCTTGCCAGGGGGGCAGGGTGCCCAGGAAGCCAGTGCGAGTCCCCGGGTGCTGCCGTTTTCTCTGTAAACTCGCCACTGTGTGAGCGTGTGACCCTTCCCAAAATAGACAAATTAAAAATAGCAAAACCCAACACACACACTGAGAATCCAAAACATACATCTGCACAAAGACCTGTCCACAGCCACAGCAACGCGGTTCACGATGCTTAAAAGCTAGAAACGACCAAAGTGTCCGTCAACAGATGATAGATAAACACAATGTGGTCCCTCCACACACGGGAACATCACTCAACCCTGAGAAGGGGTGAAAGCCCTGACACTCGCTACAGCATGGACGGACCCTGAGAACACGATGCTCAGTGAGAGAAGCCAGACACAGAAGGACACACAGTGTGTGAGTCCACTGATGGGAAACGTCCAGAACAGGCCGATCCACAGAGAGTTAGTGGTTAGTGGTTGTCAGGGGTTGGCGGGGGGAATGGGCACTGACTGCTGATGGGGACGGGCTTCCTTTTGGGATAATGGAATGTTCTGGAATTACATAGAGATCAATATAGTAAAAAAAAAAAAATACTGAATTACACTTTAAAAGGTGAACTGTAGAATAGGAGAACTATGTCTCAGTAAAAATAAAAAACCCAGTGCCTCAAGATGTCATGCTCTACTCCACCCTGGGAGGTAGATGTGGCCTTGCCCGCTGCCTGCCGCCTGCGGAGGTAGCTGTCCAGTCTTAGAGAGGGCACACAGGCCCTGCAACACCCCGACACTCGGCCCACAGCTGCATCGCCACGTGGAAACCGAGGACGGTGCGGCATGGGCCCCCCACAGCAGCCTCCCTCCCGCCAGCATGGGGGTGGGTGGGGCCGACCCCGCCAGGAGAGACGGGAAGGGGCCAAGGCACCCGGAGACGACAACCCCCCCCCCGCCCCCCGCCCCCGGCAGGTGCCAGGCCACAGGCCCCAGCTCACCTTGGCGTATATCTCCCGGAGCAGCGGCGAGGTGTTGACCTGGGGCGGGGGCACGGGCGGCCGCGGGGGGGTGAAGGCGGGCTTGGCCTTGCGCACGGCCCGCAGGAGCTCAGCCCGCTCCTCGGCGCTCAGCGGCACAGCCGTGAAGAGCCCCTGCAGCTGTAGCCCGTCCTGCGCCATCTGCTTCAGGCACCTGCAGGGCACACACACCCGGCTCACAGCGCCAGTGCCCGGGGAGCCCCAGGGATCCCAGCCCCCAGCTCAGCCAGGCCACCCTACACCGATCCACCCACCTTCGGATGGTACCAGCATCCTGGTCCAGGCGCCCCATGCACTGCAGGGCAGCCGCGTAGGACTGCAGGTCCGGGGCGAGGCCGGCGTCTTTCAGCATGAAGAACACGTACGTCAGCTCTTTGAAGGAGCCCTGGGGGAACCAAGCGGGGTGAGGGCCTGTGGGGGGGCCGGGTGTGGACAGAAGGGAGGCCCCAGCTCGGCCCACAGTGCTCCCTGCTGCCCGCCCACTCCTCTACCCAGTTTCCCGGCGACCGGGCCTCCCTCCACACAGGCCTCGCCGCTAACTTCCCCTGTGGTTTCTCCTCCAGCCCACTGGTGGCTCAGGAGAGATGCCACAGACCCTTCCAGAGAGAGGCATTCCCAGCACCCCGCCATGTGTCCTGCACCCTGTCTGACAGGTGCTGCCACCCCAGACCACGTGCCAGCAACTGGGTCCTAGGTGCCTGCCTGCACGGCCCGGGGTGGGGGGCAGGAAGGGGGGGCTGCTCAGTCCGGTAGTCACCAACCACAGCGGCCACTTAGCTTAGTTTAAATTAAACACTCGCTTCAGCAGCGACAGGACGCTGGAGCAGGTGAGGAACACTGGCAAAGTCACAGAAAGGCCTACCGGACGCTGCTGGTCCAGATTCAGCCCATCTATCCTACCTCTAAACGCTCACAGTAGGAGGACTTCCCTGGTGGCGCAGTGGTTAAGGATCCTCCTGCCAACGCAGGGGACATGGGTTCGAGCCCTGGTCCGGGAGGATCCCACGTGCCGCGGAGCAACTAAGCCTGTGCGCCACAACTACTGAGCCTGCGCTCTAGATCCCGCGAGCCACAACTAAGACCTGATGCAGCCAAATAAATAAATAAAAAGTGGAAACAACTTTTATTAAAAAAAAGAAAAAAAAACTCACAGTAACGTCACCACCACCATGAAAACATGCATTCGAACCTTCACAGTGTTAAGCACACACATACATGAGGTTGGAGCCCTGGATTACAGCCCTCACTCCTCCCAAGATGGGAAACCCAAGGCTCAGAGGGAAGGGGGGGGTGTGGCCACAGGGAGCACGTGGCAGAACGGGACTAAACTCAGGTCTGGGTGGTAGCCAGGCCTGCCTGACATAGGCTGGCTGCCTAGGGCCCCCAAAACTCAAATCCACCTGGAACCTCAGAAAAGGGCCTTATTTGGAAACCGGGTCCCTGCAGGTGCAGGGTGCAGTTAGGATGAGGTCAGTTAGATGAGGTCAGGTGCAGTTAGGATGAGGTCACACTGGAGGAGGCCGTGTGAGCACTGAGGCAGAGATCAGAGGGACGCGGTCACAGCCCAAGGGACATCGCAGACCCAGGAGCTGGCAGAGGCACGAAGCGCCCTCCCCTGGAGCCTCCAGAGGGAGTGGGGCCCTGCCACGCCCTGACCTCGGACGTCTGGCCGCTGGGACTAAAAGAAAACAAACTTCTGCTACTTTAAGCCTCCCAGTTTGTTCATTTGTTCGGCAGCCCCAGGAAGCTCATCTAATCAGAAATATGCTGCTGTAACAGGACGCTTTGTGAGGGGGACGGCAGAGGCCAGAGACCTGGGAAGGCAGACTAACTCCTGGAACTGAGTGCCCTCCTGCAAAGACAATGCAGGCAAGAAGCCCCCCGTGACTGTCGCTGTGGAGGCCTTGGGAGCCTCCCAGCGCTATCAGGCAGCTCTGGGCCGCGTTCTGTGCGTGAGTCAGCACAGCGAAGTCCCTGCCGCCAACCTGCCTTAGTGAGTTGCACCTGTGTCTCCACACAACTGTTTCCCTTGATTGCCCGGCACTAACGCTTTCCCTGCTGCTCCTCAAATGAGGTCGCAGACCCACGGGAGGGAGGGCGTTGGGGAAGTTTTCACAGCAAGGGCGCTTAAGCAACACTCCTAAGCAGCCACAGGTCAGAGGAGAAGTCCCAGGTGAAAACAGAAGACGTGGGAGAGGGAAGCAGCTAAAGTTGTTCCCAGAGGGAAATTCACAGCTGTGAATGTCTGCATTAAAAAGAAGGAGCCCACCTAGGAAGCTCGAGACAAGAACAAGCTAGGTGGAAAGCACTGAGGTCGCAGCCCCAGGGAGGGTCTGCAGCGCCCCTCGCACTAGAGCCGTGGTCAAGTAACCGGAAGGAAATGCTCTGAACCAGAGCACAGCTTCTTCCTGCCCTTTTGGTCATTTTCACACTTTGCTTTGAAGGCCACGTGTGACTCATAATCGACAAGCCTAAAGAATTATTAAAACAATAAAAGACAAAGGCCTGAGCCCTGGAGCTAAAAGACAAGGGTTCGAATCTAAGTGCCCTCAAGTTGGCTTCTGCCTCCGACCCTGGGGCACTCGCTCCCTGGGCCCAGTCACTCACCTGGCGAGCCCAGCCGAGCATGACCATGTTGTACATGGAGAGCGTGAGCAGCCGCTGCTGCTGGGACTTGCTGTGGTGGGTGACCAGCACGTGGTGGGCCAGGGGCAGGTGGCCCGTGAGCAGGCAGCACTCAAAGAAGGACAGGAGCCTCTGCTGCTGGCCCTCCAGCCGCGACTCGGGGCCTCTGTCCGCCGGAGCTGCCGCCGCCTCGCTGCTCAGCCTGTGTGGGGCCTCCTGCAGCAGCTGTGCCAGCTGCTCCTCCCACGGGCTCCGGGGCGCCCCCTGCTCCCAGTGCTGCAGCTGGCTCGCCAGCTTCCTGCTCAGCAGCCGGGGCTCCAGGCGCAGCTGCTTTTGCCAGGCCCCCTTCTCCACACGCTTCTGCAGCTTCCCCTCCAGCCGCTGCTTGCGCTTCTCCATCAGCTGCTGATCGCTGTCCAGTTTCTGCGCCCAGCGGCTGCTGAGTGTGGCGGCGGCGCCCTTGGCCCCGGCCCCCTTGGCCCCGGCCGGGGCCTGCCTGGGTGGCTGGGCGCCGCCAGCCTCCGGGGCTCGAGCCACGGCCACCCTCTTGGCCACCCTCTTCACCGTCACCTCTGCCATGCCCTCGGCCTGCAGCTGCCGCACCCGCGCCTTGAGCACTGTGGGGCAGAGGGCGAGACGTCAGGGGACCCCGCTGCCCAGGAGGCGACAGACCTCAGCCCCGTGTGTCTGCTGACCACCGACAACGTCCCTAGACTTACCTCGTTGGCCACGCACGCCCCGCCCACCCAACCAGCACCCATCCACCCGAGCCACTCAAACCCAACGTCCCGAACAGGCTCCCGGTGTTGCCCACAACCTGCCTCTCTGCGTCTTCCCCCACCCCCGCCAAGCTCTGTCCTTCCCAGCCTGAACAAAAGTCACAGGTCATCTGCGACTCTCCCCCTCTACATGCAGCCCGTGAGTGCCTCCTCAGGGCTCTGCCTTCAAAATCCACCCAGGTGCCGGCGCCTCCCTGCCCCTCTCACCCCCACTCCATCCGTAATGGCCTCAGGCCTTTGCACGTGCCATTACCCCCACACCCCACCACCCCACACACAGACAATTCACAGCCCGCCGCCGCCCTGCGCCACTTCAAGGACAGTCAGCTCTCAGGACCTGGGGCAGTTCTGTTCTACAGAGTTTCAGGCCACTGAGCTGGTGAACAGGGAACCATCACTCCCAGGCAAACACGGGGCTCCTGAGAGCCCGTGGTCGTATTTCCACCAACAGGTCCACACATAACACTGTTTTGTGAGTTCTCATCTGAGATATCTTATTTCCTATGTATTGCTAATTCACTAACATTGAACTCACAGCCAACACTCCTACATCTCACCCCTCAACAAAGCTTGTCGAACATGCAGATTTTCTACAAAAGGCACGTCACAGCCCCGTTGAGCTGAGGAAACTAGACAGCACCCCAGCACCAGGTCTGGGGCCATTTTAAACTGCAGAAACACCAACGAACAGCACAAAATGCAAAAACGTGGCACCAGATACACCCTGAAAAGGATGCCTGTTGACAGGGCTTCGCCCAGCTCCACCTCAGCTGGGAAGGTGTGCATCGGCTTTGGGGTTACAAGTTCAGCTGGTAGGAGACTTTGCAAACACAGAATCCGCGAACGTGAGGACCAAGGGTATCCATCTCCTGCCTGCACCTGTCTCACTACAACATCGGCCCCAGAGAGAGCTGGCCCAGAGCAGAAACACAGGCGCAGCCCTAGCCTCCGTGTCCGGAGACTCAGCAGACCCTTTCTGCACGTGTGGGACAGTGGCCGGCGGCAAAGCGTCGGGCAGGACACGAGGCAGAAGCAGGATGTGGGCACAGGTTTCCCTTGGAGGTGGCCGCATCCAAGCCACCTGGGGGCTGACCCAGGACAGGCAGGTGCAAAGCTCCTGATGCCAGAAGCCGAGGAGGTAGGCAAAGGCCTGGAGGTCTACGGCCCTCAGTGGGGGTCTGGAGATTATTCTGTGAGAGAGGAAACAGTTGGATGGTTCAAGGCTGGGGAGTGAGGTGAAGTGATTCAGATTTCCAGATCCTGGGCTTAGCTTTAAAATAATGAGATGGGTGAGAAACGAAAGAAGGTTGTTCTTGAAGCCCATGGGACCTGTGGCTTCAGATCTGCGTGTTTGGGGTTTTCTGAAATTAGGTGTTGTTTTTCAAAGCCTCCCCCACCCCACTCCTGGCTGCTGGACACACACTGGACAAGGGACAGGAGGGGAAGCAGGAGGCACTGGACGTCTGGGAGGGAGAGGACAGTGAGGCGGCGAGAAGGACAGATGCCCCCCCACTTGCTACAGAGGCCGCCAGGACCTGGCTGTCCATCCCAGGTGACAAGGACCACGAGTAGACCCCATCGTGCGCCCAAGCCCAGGAAGCTGAGCCAGGACCACTGAGCTTGGTCATGTCACAGCTCAAAGCCCAGCTCTGCACGTGCAGCGGTGGGTGGCCTTGAGCCAGTCTCTCCAGCCACAGATCTGGGCCTCGACTGTCTCATCTGGAAAGGGGGAGCCCCTGCTGGGACGAGGGAACTACAAGAGCTCGCTGTGTACAGCACTCGCTTCACCATGGGAGCCCTCGGACCACCAGAGAGCAGGACCCCATGAGTCACCCCACCTTACAGACTGACATCCCTTCTCACCGGGGTCCCTGTGGGGAACCAGGGAGGCGGCTCCCAGCAGCGCTGCCGACGGGGGGACAGCGAGGAAGGGGCTTCAGGCCCCAAACCTCGGGGGTCAGGCTCACCCTCCAGCAGCTCGGCATGGCCCCAGTCCTTCCGGCGGTCCTGCTCACAAGGGCTGGCAGTCGAGCTCCTCTTACGGCCCCAGACGCCACCAAGAGCCCCTGCAGGAGAGACCAGGGAGGCTGAAGGAGGCGGGCATCAGGGGTCGGGGAGGGAGGGCCCTGACAGGGGCAAAGGAAGCCTAAAGGCAGTGGGAACTGTCAGTGGTCACCGGTCTCACACTGGAAAGAAACTAACAGGACAAAAGTGAAGGGGACACCACGGGCAAAGGAAAAAAGAAAAGTGGGGCGTGGGGTAGAGGATAAAAGGTTCGTCGAACTAAGGCACAGACAATTCAAAGGTTAAAAACCCTAAACCGTAAATAGTGAGTCATGGGGCTCCAAAAGAAATCAAGGGTCGAAGATCAAAGTGCCCCGCCGACCCCTGTCCGGAGAGTGGGCCAAGGGCGAGTGAAAGCGGGGTCGAGTCACTGGGTTCCCCAGAACTCCCAAGATCAAAGGGCAAGTGTCGGAGGAAGCTGGATCCCGAGGGTCGAGAAGCCAGAGGTCACGGCCGCGGGTGGGGGGGGCAGGGCAGCGGTTCCGGGACTCCCCTTCATTACCTTCCTCGGCCAGGAGGCCGGGGGTTCCCGCCGGCCACAGGGCCCTCCCGAACCCCGCCGCGCCGCGGCCCCAGCGTACAGCTGACATGCCGCCAGCACGCGGAACCACCGCGCCGCCGCAACGCACATGCGCCGCCCGCGCCCGCCGGGAGTTGTAGTCCTATGGCCTACGGCGGCCGCGAAGGGACCACGCGCCTGGAGAGCGCGGGAGGAACCACAATTCCCAGGGGGCATCGGGGCGCCGGAGGCGGGAGGCATGCGCCGGTGGTGCCCGTTGATTGGCTGTTCCCTGTCGAGGTGGGGCGGGACAGAGCCGTTGCTTGGGCAACACTGCGAGAATCTAAGCCATCTTTGGGAGGACCCGGAACCTGGGTTTTGTTGTTGTTGTTGTTTAAGGAATAGTCGCCAAATAATTAGGACAGCGTTCTGCAATTTAGAGATTCCTATCCGCGATCTTCATTGATCCAAAGATAGCTCTGGGGAGGGAACTATTACTATCTCCGGTTTATTGTGGAGGAAGCTGAGGTTCAGAGAGGTCAATCAGGTTCCCCAAAGACACACAGCACGAATGTCAGAGAGACTGGAATGAAGGCCCACATCCGTCTGACTCAAAGCCGCAGAGCCAACGGTCAGCTGGATCATTGTGTTTCCTGGACATTTCCCTCATTCACTCTTTCTGGCCTCAGTTTACCCACTAGTTCCCAAGGCCAGGGACGGAGTGGGGCAGAGAGCGCAGACTCACCTCTAACTAAGTTGACTGGATGACAAATGGAATGAAATAATGCCTGGAGCATCTCAGCCCTGGTCTCCAGGGAGATCCCACTCAGGAGTAAGCAGGGCCAGAACTTTAGAATCAGACCTGGAAGGCATGCCTCACTTTATCGTTCAGTTGGGGAAACTGAGGTCAGGGGAGGGAGCGTCTTCTCTGGGATCGGCTGGTATGTGAAGGGTGAGAATAGGCACACATGATGTAACTGCGCTCCAGGCAGCAATCAAAGTGAGTACAAAGGCCTGAGAGACAGGAAAGTTGGAATTGGAGCAGTGTTTGGGAGAGAGGAAGCAGAGACAAAGGTGGAAGGGTGCTCAGGGGCCAGACCACGGCGGGCCTTAGGGGCCTCAGCTCAAGCTGCCACCTGTCCCCAGTTGCTCAGACTTCAGTCTCCCCACTACCCAGAGTGGAGGCCGGACCTGTACTCTGGAAGGGCCAGACTCCTAGGTCTGGACGCCTCTCGCCAGCACATTCCAGATGCAGCTGCCCACGCGGGCCTGTGCACTGTGATGCCACCAGCTGGGAATGTTTTCAACAGACAGCAGCATCCTCCCAAAACCGCCCCAATCCACCCCAAGATGCCCCGGGGGGCCGTGACCTCAGACCTGGCTCATATCTAGGGTTTCCTTCCTGGTGGGGGAGGGGGTCACTGAATCAGCTGGCCCTGGCTCCCCCAAGACCTAGAGACATCCCCTCGTATCCCTGCAGTCTGGCGGAGCCAGGAGCCTGGACTGGAAGCCAAGACTTCTGAATTCTTTTGCCTCAGTTTCCTCTTTTACTCTCTGGGACATCAGATTCCCTAAACCAGTATCTCCCAAGAGCTGGATCCTGGATCTTGACGGTGAGGAAGCCATTCTCCTTTCAGTCCCTGCTCAAACACAGGCGGTCTCAATTGGTGCCACCTGCGTGTTACCCCGTTTCAGCTCCCGGGCTGGGGTCCTGCCAATCGGAGACTTTTGTCACATGGTCTCTTCTCTTTGTATTTCTTCTTGCAGCTTATTGTCAATGTGTCAACGTATGGCACTGGTTTTCCACTCCTGATGGGGATATCAAATTTCCTTGTAAAACTTAAGCATGAAAATACGAATAACACACGAGACAAGTGGAGACAGATGTCCTTAAGAGGGGGTCATGGCATTGAGACGTTGGGGTTTGGGCAAGACTGTGTTTCAGAAGCTGTTCGCGTGTGCTGGGTTCTTCCCCAAAACTTTTCACCCAAATTGAACCAAGAGACGATCGGGTGAACTTAGACATTCTGTGAGACTTCAGAAATGTTGGGGGGAGGGGAGGGATAAACTGGGAGACTGGGATGGACATACACACACTACCATACATAAAACAGAAAACTAGTAAGGACCTACCATGTAGCACAGGGAACTCTACTCAGTACTCTGTAATGACCTATACGGGAAAAGAATCTAGAAAAGAGTGGATATATATATATGTATAGCTGATTCAGTTTGCTCTACACCTGAAACTAACACAGCATTGTAAATCAATTATACTCCAAGAAAAAATTAATAATAGTAAAAAAAAGGAGACGTGTTGAGGAAGGCAAGGAATGCTCTCTAAATGGAAAGACACGGCATCAGATTCTGGGGGCCGCCGTAACAAACGACCACAAACTTGGTGCCTAACAACAGAAATTAATCCTCTCATATTTCTGGAGACAAGACATCCAAAATTAGTATCACTAGGATGAAATCAGGGTGTGCACAGAGCCGTGCCCCATCTGGAGGCTCCCAGGGAGGGTCCTTACTGCCTCTTCCAGCTTCTGGGGCTCCAGGCGTCCTGGGCTTGTGGCCATGTCCCTCCCGTCTCTGCCTTCGCCTTCACGTGGCCTCTCCTCCGTGTCTGTGTCTCTCATAAGGGTACTTGTGACTGCATTTAGGGCCCCTAGGATGATCTCATTTGAAAATCTTAATGTAATGGCCGCTGCCAAGACTCTTTATCCAAATAAGGTCAGATTCACAGGTTCTGGGGATTAGAACGTGGACACATGTTTGTGGGTCTTTATTCAGCCAATCACAGAGACAAAGGGAGAACAGAAGGCACTGCATGTGCCCTACCCAGGTTTGGCATGAGAAAAAAATGTATTCAAGGACATAACGGTGACAAGAGGGGGCATTTAAGCGTGGATGAGGAATGAGGTTGCCGCTTGGCTATGATGGAGGACCTTGACATTAGAAGACTCGTCCGGGAATTCCCTGGCGGTCCAGTGGTTAAGACCCCTCGATTTCACTGCCAAGGGTCCGGGTTCGATCCCTGGTCGGTGAAATGTGATCCCCAGCCGCATGGCACAGCCAAAGAAAAAAAAAAAAACTAGTCCGACCATTTCTGAAGCTGCCTCTCAAATACTCACATACATAAAAAGACCACACGTGTGTATTTTTCAGGTAGAACATGAACAGTGCACACATCAAGAATACAGTTCACGGGACTTCCCTGGCGGTCCAGTGGTTAAGACTCTGCATATCCAATGCAGGGGGCGCGGTTCCATCCCTGGTCAGGGAACTAAGATCCCACAAGGCCGCGTGGGCGCGGCCAAAAAAAAAGAAAGAAAGAATACAGTTCAATTAATTTTCCAGGACACAGGAGTGTTCCAAAGAACACCCAGCCCCTGAAACCCCCTCATGTCTCCTATCATTGCCCCTGAGGGCGACACCCATCGGACAGTTCACACCATGGGTTGGTTTTCCAGAATGTCCCATAGATGGACATCTATTGTGTCTGACTGCTTCTCCTCATTCTGTCTCAGTCATCCACATTGTTTTGTATTCAGTGGGTTACTCTTTTTCATGGCTGCATAGTACTCCCCCGTGAGTTTGCTGCAGTGTATTTACCCATCCTCCAGCTGACGGAAATCAAAAATAATATGTAGAGCTGGGGACTCCCGCAACAGGGCGTTAATTGTGCTGTTCTCACAACTTGTCTGTAGGCTTGACGTCTTCCAGAAAACCACAGGGAGATACCTCTGTACCCAACTAGGATGGCTGCAGTCAAAACGATGGCCAATCACAGCTGCTGGTGAAGAGGTGGGAACACTGGAGCACTCGTGCACAGCTGGTGAGAATGTGAGATGGGGCAGCTGTTGTGGAAGACGTTCTGGCAGCTCCTCAAAAAGCCAACCGGGCTTCCCTGGGGCACAGTGGTTGGGAGTCTGCCTGCCGATGCAGGGGACACGGGTTAGTGCCCCGGTCCGGGAGGATCCCACATGCCGCGGAGCGGCTGGGCCCGTGAGCCATGGCCACTGAGCCTGCGTATCCGGAGCCTGTGCTCCGCAACGGGAGAGACCACAACAGTGAGAGGCCCGCTTACCGCAAAAAAAAAAAAAAAAAAGCCAACCATAGAATCACTATGTGACCCAGCAGTTCCACTCTTGGGTATATACATGAGAGAAATGGCGACTTATGTTCACACTTAAACTCGTACACGTCCGCAGTAGCATGATTCACGACAGCCAAAAGGCAGCAACAACCACGTGTCCAGCAATGGATGATGGGTAAACAGAATATGGTCCCTCCACACATGGGAGCATCACTCAGTCATGCGAAGGGGTGAAGCATTGATACTTGATACAATGTGGATGGAAGTTGAACACAATGCTCAGTGAGAGAAGCCAGACACAGAAGGACACAAAAGGTGTGAGTCCATTGATGGGAAACGTCCAGAACAGGCAAATCCACGGAGACAGAGAGTAGATTCGTGGTTGTCAGGGGCTGGGGAGGGGATGAGGGTAACTGCTGATGGGGACGGGGCTTCTCTTTGGGGTGATGGAATGTTCTGGAACTAGACAGAGGTAAGCATTGACAACTGTGTACTGAAAGCATTAATTGCACAATTTCCTGGGTGAACTGGGTGGCATGTGAATTATATTTCAGTGAAGCTGTTGCGAAAAGCACCTGGGGCGCAGCTCTCTCCTCAGGCGTGGGTCCCCTCCGGTCATACAGGGCCCTGGATCTTGTCCTCCTGGCAGGTGGGGTGGGGACAGTCTATGAAGGGAAGACCAAGCTTCTAGCTGGTGGGAGTGGAGGTGTTATTCCGAGTACCCAGTGAGGTTGTGGATTATCTCATTGCATCCTTCCAGCCTTCCCTCTCCTGGCCTATTTTCCACAGGAGGAGGCAAGGCTTGGGGAGGTGATGCCTGCAGGCCAGTCCCCTGGGTGCTGGCCTCAGGGCTCTGAGTGTGGGGAGACAGTCCGGGCTGGATCCCTATCTCAGTCCTGGGGTCCTGGGCTTGGATGTCTGCCACACCCCCTGCGTGGCCCTCCTGGGGCCAGGAAGAGGGATCGGGGAATCCCTGGAGCCACCAGGAAGGCATCCCAGCGACACCGTCTGGC